ACAGAGAAGCCGGGGCCAGGGGTGGGGGGTGGGGGGTGGGCTTCCCACCCAAACTCAGGGTGCGGGTTGGGCTTAGGCTACCACCTGCCTGGCATCCGGGCCTCCTTCTCCAGCACTGCTGGAACCTTCCTCCTGCTGGGAGGCAGCCTCCCAGGGCCTCCTCCCAAGTACGACTGTCCCACTTCACACCTCCGGGTGGTGGCAGCCGTGGCTAGCCAGCGGGGACGCCTGGAGGCCGAGACGGAGGCCCGGCTAAGGCCTTCTGTCTCCTGCCTTCCATCCCCAGGACAAGCAGGGCCTGCTCCCCCCAGGGCTGCCGAGCTGGGGTCAGAGCGGGTGTAGAATAAAGACCGCACTGTCTTCTCAGGGGCTCACAGGTCCTCGGGGGAGCCGGGTAAATAGGCAACAACAACACGTGTGGTTATAGGTGTGGGTCCGTGTATGTGTGCGCGTGTGTGTGCGCACTCGCTCGCCTTCTTTATAAACTCAGTCAAGGAAGTGCAGCGAGGTCCCCAAGGAATCCAGATCTGTGCCCAACCCAGAGTGGGCCGCGGGAGCTGGGGACCGTCTCAGACAGATGAAACCCCGGGACCATCCCAGGAAATGTAGGCAACCCCATGAGGGCTAAGAAGAGTGGGGGGCGGAAGGCTGTCTGCGGGGCGTGGGGTGTGGGGCTGCTTGGGGTCCAGGAAGAGGAGCTTCGAACTTGTGCTCAGGACACTAGGGAGCCATGACCGACTCTAGGCAGGGGAAGGCCACCGTGGTGTGTGCCTGCCGGCGGGGGGGTGGGTAGGGTGGATGAGGCTGGAGCCAGTGGAGTCGGCTGGGTGCTCCTGCAGACCCCCAGGGGAGAGGCAGCAGGCCCTAAAGTGCCAGTGCAAATGCTAAAGCAAACTTGTTGGGTGAGTGAGTTCCTCGAATTTCTCGTTCCTTGGCCGACCTCCAAGGCTGAGGCTGTGGTCTGGCCCCAAGACCCCTTGCTAACTGTCTCCTGTTTCTCCTCTTTTTCCCGGTGCCTGCACACACACACACACATGCACCCCACCTATCGGATTCCCTAGACATGGCTGGGTTTATTCCAGCTTTGTACCTCTGCTCATGTGATTACTTCCTTCTGGAATGCTCTCCTGTCATCCTCACAAATCAAATCCTGTCCATCCATCAAGATTCAGTCCAAATGACTCCTACTCCAAGCAGCCTTCCCTCCTCAGGAAACATTATCTGGGCCTCTCTTACAGCACAGGCCACTTTGTAATCCTGGATCGTGTGTGTGTGCGCGCGCGCGCGTGTGTGTGCGCATGCGTGTGTGTGAGCACGCACGCACCTGCTCTTTGAACTCAGAGCATCAGCAAAACTGAAATCCAGGTCTGATTCAATAGTTCTTAGAAGCGGCCCTGGCCCAGAGAGAGGTCTCCGTGAAAGTTTAATGAAGGAGGGAAGGAGGAAGGGAGGGGAGAGTCGGCATTTACTGGGTCACCATATGTGTGAGGCTTGAATTGCTTTAGCTTCTGGTGGGTGATCCATTTCTCTGCTGTGTCTTGCATTCCCAGCCTAGGTTCTAACTTGCTGACTCTGACCCATATTCTGATGTTAACATCAGAGATCCTGATTTTCATTTTTTTCCTAAGACTTACTACAACTCCAACCTCCTTGTTTCTGCCTAGTCACAGAAATATATGGCTGGATGGATATACAGATGATTGAGTGGATGGAGTGAATAACCAAATTAATGACCAAGGAGAAATCATTTAAGAATGATAGACTACAAGTGATGTGATACCAGCATTTGGTGGATACCAATCAAATTCTGGCCATTTAGACCTTCATCCAGCTGGCACTAACTAGACACCTACGATGATCATGGGAGACCCTAGAGATCAAATAAACATGGTGCCTAACCCCACAGAGCTGATAGTCTAGCAAAGGAGACAGAGAAATTGCCAAGAGGACGTAGCAGGATAAGATATGTGATAATCATAAGATTTTGATAGAGAATGTGTGGGAGGCTAGCCAAGCAAAGAGAAGAGGCATGCATCACTCACTCACTCAGGAGTATCAGGGAAGGCTTCCTGGAAGAAGTGACATCTAAGCTGTGCAAGGAAGCTGATGAATAGCGGGTAAGGAGGGTCAGTGAGCCTGGCAGAGGGAACAGTATGTATAAAGGGCCAGAAGGAAAGAGTCCAGGGCAGATTTCATTTGGGAAACTAGAGCATGTCAATCAGACTGAAGCATAGACACTGGAGTAGCAGAGGAGCAAAGAAGGGCTGTGAATTCCGAAGGAGTTCAGTATCTGTCTTAAGAGTGGGGGATCCTCTGAAAAGTTCCACACAGGGAAAGATCTGACCAGGGATACAGGAAGACTATGAATTGAATAATGTTTCTCGAAATTCCTTCTGTTGATCCAGAAAGGCTATGTTCTTCTGATGTCTTCCCGTAAATAACATCCCACTAAATCGATAAATCATCTGGGAAATTAAAAAACAGGAAATCTTGTACTGCTTTTCTTGGCAATGAGAAAACCAAGAAAACAAAAACAGAATTCACCTCCTACCCCCAAATTTGAAGTTTCTCATTGACCAAGCTTAAATTGCTCAATTTAAGTTCTATCTAAAAATGACTTCACTTCATAGTTCTAACCCAAAAGGTTAAAAGTTCAGAAATTAAAGCTGATGTCTGTTAAAATAACATCAAGCTTCATTGAAGAAAAATAACCGGAATGCCAAAGTGCATTCTTTTGACTAAGTAATACATTTTCTGGCTTGGATTCATTTCAGGAACCATTCGTTCTCAAGTGTTGACAATAGCTGTGATTAACCTGTTGAGAGGTGTGTGTATAGTTCACATCTAAATAAGTGACTGCTTCAAGTAGCTTAGGTAAATACAATGGGAAAAGTAGCAGTTGATTTTCAGATGTAGCTGCAAAGGTAACAGAAAACAGAAAATAAATAGCTGTGTAAAAATATAGTAGGTGGCTGTCCATAGGAAACTTAACACCCATCTAACCTGCAGTCAGCACACTCCACTCACTCAGGACAGCGTGGTCACCCAGGACCAGGCGCGTAGGATGGTGCCCCATTTAGACACCATGGGTAAGGGAAGCTGTGTTCAGAAGGTCATTTTTAGACCTGAAGAAGGAGAAGGGACTTGTCATTAGAAGCGCCACAGAAAGGATGGTCCAGGCAGAAGGAATAGTAGGTGCCAAGGCCCTGGGGCAGGAAAAGATTTAACGGAGACCTGATGCGAAGAGTTGACTCACTGGAAAAGACCCTGATACTGGGAAAGATTGAAGGCAAAAGGAGAAGAGGGTGGCAGAGGATGAGATGGTTTGATGGCATCACCGACTCAATGGACATGAACTTGGGTGAACTCCGGGAGATGGTGAGGGACAGGGAGTCCTGGCATGCTGCAGTCCACGCGGTCGCAAAGAGTCACACATGACTTAGCGACTAAACAACACCAACAACGAAGCAGATGAACTGTCTGGAATCTCCAGGTTGTCACTGACCTGCGGGGGGTGGGGAGGATGCCTTCCCTTCCTGTGCTCCCCAAGCTCTCCCCTCATCTCTCTGGGCAGTGTCTCTTCCTTCCTAAGTTGGGGAATGGGGGTCCCAAGTCTGTCCAGGAGCTGTATCCTCCTGTTCGGGCTCTGCTGTTCTTCCCACAACCCCCACCTCCTCTCCACCCTGCCCTCTGGCTACTGATGCCCTGGCTTTGGGGAGATGAAATTAGCTGCAGGCACATAGATTTAAAAAACAAAACAAAATAAAATAAAAGCAAACCCAGCCATTTAAGGACATCAGGTCTCTAAACAGACATTCAAAGTTTTCTTCTCCCCAAGGGAGGTAGCACCATGGCCCAGGTCAGGGACGAGTGGGTGGGGAGAGTCCTGAATGGGGGGAGAAGGGGGCGGGCAGTTCACTTGTCCAGACTCCCTCCCCCAAGGGGATCTTGCCCTCAGGCCCTGAGAACCAGCTTTGAGAATGTTCTGCTGGTCTCAGGCCAAGCGGTGCCTTGAATAAGTCTGTTTATTCTCTGGGCCTTCAACAGGGACATGGCTTCTGTTTTCCTTTTATACTAACTTTATTTGTACTTTTTATTGATTGTAAAAGATTATATACGTATAATTTATATAACATACAGATAAGTATATATATATTTTTAATTGTACGTTCCTGCTGCTTCTGCGGCACCACTCCCCACCACCAGCTCATCTTGGCGGGGGGCGGGTCCTTGGACTTGGTGCCAAGCCACTCTCAGCTCCAGAAAGAAGAAGGGGAGCCCAGAGTGCACTCCTGGGCAGTGATCGCATGTGCGAGGGTGAACACATTGCATATTTTAGAGAATAATATATTTACTTATAAAATAATAAACAAATGGAGGCCTGATCTTCACCGCTAGCCTCAGCGACATTGCCAAGGTCTTCTGAATGCCCCGTGTTCCCTGTCCCTGTGCACACCCCCCACTCCCCACCTCATTTGCCTTAGTTACCACTGGGCTGAAGGCTGCTCTACTGAAGCCAGCCAGCCAAAGGCCCAGGAACACACTTGTGGTAGGAAAATGTTAGGTTTCTTTAAGCCTGTAGCTGCAAGGGAGCACAGCCCAGGGAGAGCTCGGGAGTGTCTTGATGAGGGGGGTTTGGAAAAGCCTCTTCATGGTCTGGCCTGGCATTGGATGACCCCAAAGAGGACTGTGGAAGCTGGTCCAGTCTGGTTACTGAGTAGTCTCCAAAACTTGGCATCTGATCATCTTGATCTAGGAGGCTGGAGGATGAAAGCAGGGCTGGATAGTCACTGGTGAGGGAGCTGCCCTTGCTCAGAAAGGCGATGAAGAGGAGGGCGCAGTGTCATTTGTGGGATTGCAGGGTGGCCCTGTCATGTCTATGCTGAGTGCAGCTTATGGTTTCTTAAAAATGTCATCCATTTGTCAGCACAGTTTCTCATCAATTAGTGCTAATTATAACCTTTCTTTTCTTTGTGACTTGTAGGTATGATATGTATATTATGTTTTATGTATGGGTAAGCAAGATGTTTATCACCATCACAAGAATCACCATCACCTCTATCACCATCTCCATCACTGTTATCATCACTACCATCGTCACCATCTACATTACCACCATCATTACTACCTCTGTCACCATCTCCTTCACCATCTTTACCACCATCATCACCATCACCATCACCACCATCATCACCACCTCTGTTACCACCTCCATCAGCACCTCCATCACCATCATCATCACCACTTCCATCACCACCATCATCACCACCTCCATCAGCACCTCCATCACCACCATCTTCACCACCACCATCACAACCACCATCACCACCATCATCACCACCTCCATCACCACCATCACCACCACCTCCATCACCACCATCATCACCACCTCCATCACCACCATCACCACCACCTCCATCACCACCATCATCACCACCTCCATCACCACCATCACCACCACCTCCATCACCACCTCCATCACCACCATCATCACCACCTCCATCACCACCTCCATCACCACCATCATCACCACCTCCATCACCACCTCCATCACCACCATCACCACCATCATCACCACCTCCATCACCACCATCACCACAACCTCCATCACCACCATCATCACCACCTCCATCACCACCATCATTACCAACTCCATCACCACCTCCATCACCATCATCATGACCATCACCACCACCATCACCACCACCATCACCACCACCTCCATCACCACCATCACCACCATCATCACCACCTCCATCACCACGATCATCACCACCATCTTCACCACCTCCATCACCACCATCACCACCACCTCCATCACCACCAACACCACCACCTCCATCACCACCTCCATCACCACCACCATCACCACCTCCATCACCACCACCTCCATCACCACCATCACCACCACCTCCATCACCAACATCATCACCACCTCCATCACCACCTCCATCACCACCATCATCACCACCTCCATCACCACCTCCATCACCATCATCATCACCACCTCAATCACCACCTCCATCACCACCATCATCACCACCATCATCACCACCTCCATCACCACCATCATCACCACCATCATCACCACCTCCATCACCACCATCATCACCACCTCCATCACCACCATCATCACCAACATCATCACCACCTCCATCACCACCTCCATCACCACCATCATCACCACCATCATCACCACCATCATCACCACCTCCATCACCACCATCATCACCACCTCAATCACCACCTCCATCACCATCATCATCACCACCTCCATCACCACCTCCATCACCACCACCTCCATCACCACCATCACCACCACCTCCATCACCAACATCATCACCACCTCCATCACCACCTCCATCACCACCATCATCACCACCTCCATCACCACCTCCATCACCATCATCATCACCACCTCCATCACCACCTCCATCACCACCATCATCACCACCATCATCACCACCTCCATCACCACCATCATCACCATCATCATCACCACCTCCATCACCAACATCATCACCACCTCCATCACCACCTCCATCACCACCATCATCACCACCTCAATCACCACCTCCATCACCATCATCATCACCACCTCCATCACCACCTCCATCACCACCATCATCACCACCATCATCACCACCTCCATCACCACCATCATCACCATCATCATCACCACCTCCATCACCAACATCATCACCACCTCCATCACCACCTCCATCACCACCATCATCACCACCTCAATCACCACCTCCATCACCACCATCATCACCACCTCCATCACCACCATCATCACCACCATCACCACCACCATCATCACCACCTCCATCACCACCATCACCACCATCATCACCACCTCCATCACCACGATCATCACCACCATCTTCACCACCTCCATCACCACCATCACCACCACCTCCATCACCACCAACACCACCACCTCCATCACCACCTCCATCACCACCACCATCACCACCTCCATCACCACCACCTCCATCACCACCATCACCACCACCTCCATCACCAACATCATCACCATCATCATGACCATCACCACCACCATCACCACCACCATCACCACCACCTCCATCACCACCATCACCACCATCATCACCACCTCCATCACCACGATCATCACCACCATCATCACCACCTCCATCACCACCATCATCACCACCATCACCACCACCTCCATCACCACCAACACCACCACCTCCATCACCACCTCCATCACCACCACCATCACCACCTCCATCACCACCACCTCCATCACCACCATCACCACCACCTCCATCACCAACATCATCACCACCTCCATCACCACCTCCATCACCACCATCATCACCACCTCAATCACCACCTCCATCACCATCATCATCACCACCTCAATCACCACCTCCATCACCACCATCATCACCACCATCATCACCACCTCCATCACCACCATCATCACCACCATCATCACCACCTCCATCACCACCATCATCACCACCATCACCACCACCATCATCACCACCTCCATCACCACCATCATTACCAACTCCGTCACCACCTCCATCACCATCATCATGACCATCACCACCACCATCACCACCACCATCACCACCACCTCCATCACCACCATCACCACCATCATCACCACCTCCATCACCACGATCATCACCACCATCTTCACCACCTCCATCACCACCAACACCACCACCTCCATCACCACCTCCATCACCACCACCATCACCACCTCCATCACCACCACCTCCATCACCACCATCACCACCACCTCCATCACCAACATCATCACCACCTCCATCACCACCTCCATCACCACCATCATCACCACCATCATCACCACCTCCATCACCACCATCATCACCACCATCATCACCACCTCCATCACCACCATCATCACCACCTCCATCACCACCATCATCACCAACATCATCACCACCTCCATCACCACCTCCATCACCACCATCATCACCACCTCCATCATCATACTATCACTGTGTAAAAGCCCTCCCATCTACACAGGCAGCCTGTGTGGGATGTCACATCTGTTCTGGAGATTTCATGTGTGTGTGGGGTGCATCTATGTGTATGATGGAATGATTGTTGTGGGTTGGGTGGGGGAGGCTATTTAAAGTGTTTGAGGCTGAGTAGCCCTGACAGTCAAGAAGCTGACTGTAAAGAACGGGATCCTCCTCACTGAGCAGAAACTGTGATCCTGTCTTCATTTTTCAATCTCAGTAAAGGTTGAGGGACTGGCCTGCCAAACAGGTGTGGGGACTCAGAGTCAGACCACGGCTGGGACTGACAGGAGCCTGACAATGAGGCTCTAATCTACCACACTCTGGCTCCCAGAAGTTTACTGCATGGCTTCTAACAACTCTGCCTTGGTGAACCTCAGTTTTCTCATCTCTAAAATGGGAATAATGGTAACCAGTCTCAATGGACTGTGGTGAGGATCAACTGCCAGATAAGTGGCTAGCATGTAGTTGGAACTCAATGAACTTGAGTCTCTTGTCCCCAGCTGTGACAGGTAGCCGCACTCTCTCCTGACTCCTGAGGCTGAGACAGGGAACAGGAGGCTCCAGGAAAGCCCAGAGCAGATGTGACCCCCCAGCCAGGCTGCTTCTCAGTGTCTTCTGATCTTGTCCCATGCCCGGTGCAGGGAGGACCCTCATAGAGGAGGGCATGGGCAGTGAGAGGGTGGGGGAGGCCAGGAGAGGGGAGAAGCCCTGGAAGGGAAAGAAGGAAAAAAGGCAGGAAGAAAAAGAAAATGCGGAAGAAGGGAGGGGAAGGGGAAGAAGAAAAGATGCTGGGGAAGTGGAGAAGATGTCAGAGAAAGGAGAAGGGGAGGGAGAAGGTGGGAGAAATAGGGGAAAGGGAGGGAAGAGAATGAGCAGGAGGCACCTGATGCTCAGCGTCAGGAGGAGAAAGGCTGCCCAGTCCAGCCACCAGGCCAGGCATGAGGGAGGGGAGGGGGAGCTGGAGGTGGGGCTGGGCAGGCTGGCCTGACCCCTGCTTAACAACCCCCCCCCCTCCACCTGCTGCCACAGTGGGATCCTCTCAACCTACCATTTTGTCCGCTGGGAACAATAGGGAGCTGTCGGGAGCTGTGTCATCAGCTGCCTCCCCCAGAGGAGACGAAGGCAGCGTCTCCCTATCCTGGACCTCAGGGCCAGCTGCCAGCCCAGTGTGGGAGGGCCCAGCAGCTGGGCTGCCCTCGATCTTGGCTCCTCCCTCTTGGTGCCCCTACCCCTCCCTGTAAGTCTGCCAGGCCCCTCTCCCCAAGAGGTTCCCTCCACTGGGCTCCTATTTGCTAAAAATGAGAGAGGGGGCAGGCAGGGGAGGAGTCGTGCAGACAGCACTAGGGTGTCAGGACATGTGTGTTTTGGTCTTTGTCATTATGGCAGAGATGGCCAGCTGTCCCTCACTATCTGTCCTCCCCTTCTTCCTGATGATTTGCCACCTTTAATTTTGGGCTGGCTACATACTATCCCGGTGGCTCAGATGGCAAAGAGTCTGCCTGTAATGCAGGACACCTGGGTTCTGTCTCCTGGGGAAGAAAACAGCTACCCACTCCAGCATTCTTGCCTGGAAAATCCCTTGGACAGAGGAGCCTGGCAGGCCACAGTCCATGGGGCCACAAAGAGTTGGACAGGACTGAGCAACTATCACTTTCACTTTTCTCCTAACTTGTGATATGACATTGGCAAGTCACTTTCTGCCTCTGGGTCTCAGTTGATTTATTTGAACGAGAGTCTTGCACTATAAAGAACTGATGTTACAGACTACCAGGAGATTCTAGAAAATAGAAAAGTCACCAAGAGCTGAAGCTGAAGGTCCATCAGGACTGGAGAGGGTAAAACAAGGAGGTGCTTCACTAGGGCCTCCAGGCCTTAGCTGATTGGGCCCTGCCCACCCCTCCCACCTCATCTCCTGTGACCCTCCCCCTTACTGCCTCCACCCCAGCTACACTGGCCTCCTTTCCAAGACACCAAGCTTGCATCCACCTCAGCACCTTTGCATGTGCTGTTCCCTCTGTCTAGAATGCTCTTCTCTGCAGATCTTTATTCAGGCCTCTGTTCATTATCATCTGCTCAGAAAGGTCCATTCCAATTCCCCCACCTAACGTTGCTGAGTTTCCCTCCCTAGGACAACAAAGTTTAAAGTCCTTATAGCACTGACCAATACCTAAAATGTTCTTGCTCATTATTCGCTTCTTGTTTCTGACTTTACCCAGCAAATGTGACCTCGTGAGAGCAAGCATCAACCACATTAACTGCTAGATCATCAGATCACCAGGACTTGAAATAAGGTCTGGCATACATTAAGTGCTCAATAAAAACTCAAAGACTACATATAGGTAAGCTTAGAAGGACAAGAAGGGAATTGGCACTGATCAAGAACCTACTATGGGCCAGGCGCTGTGCTGGATGCTTCCCATGAATCATTTCATTCACTTGCCTTCACACTCTCAGGTAGGACTTGCTAGTCCCATTTTTCAGGTCTGCAAACTGAGGTTCTGAGATGACAGTGATTCACTCTCAGGTCCCAGAGCTCTACACACAAGGGCTGGGGTTTGAGCCCAGGTTCCCTGTATCGAGCTCAGTAGGTTTTCATGATTCTGGCCTGGCCACACGCTCTGGGACACACAAGGATCCTCAGAAGTCCCTAATGCTCCCCACTCCACCCCATCCTCTGACCCCACTTGCTAAGTATCTCCTCTTCACCTCCCAGGCAGCCGCTTCACTGGCTTTGATTTTCAGCATCTTTTCTGTTATCTTCCTAGGAGACTGTACTCTAAGCCTGTGGCATCACAGAGGCACTGGATTCCACAGAGATGCTTCTTCACACTCTGAAGTGTGAGGACTGGTTCCTTCAAGAGGGGAAAAACACACCACCTGCCGGCTCCGCTTCAGAAACTCCTGTCTGATCTTCATTGCCAACCCTAACGCAGAGGAAGCTGTGTGGCCTTGCTCTCATCTCCTCTGCCCTTTAAGCCTCAGTTTTCTCATCTGGAAAATGGGGATAACGATGATACCCATCTGGCAATGTGGTTGAGGAGTAAATGGGATGATGGTAGGGCAAGCAGGTTTGGTTTTGAGGTTTAAGTCAAGGACCTTTCCTGCATCTAAATAAAAACATCTGACCTCCAACCTGTGGGCAACCCCCATACTCCTGACTATGGCTTCCTGGTATTATAACACATCAACAGCTCACAAGTTTAAATATTCCCTTCTACCCTGAGTCCTCTCCCTTCCAGGTTATGTGACTTTAAACAACTCCCTTCCCCCAGCTGAGCTTCAGTTTCCTTGTATGTAAACTGAAGGAGTTGGACTAGATTCCATTTCAGCTCTAAAATTCTAAGGCTTCTTTATCAAAGAAAAGTATGAGCAATAATAGCTATCATTTAGTGAACACTTATCATTTGCCAGGGAAAACTGTCAGTCCTTTTACCTATATTGTCTAATTTTGTCTTCACAATAACCCTGAGGGAGGCATTATTATTATTCCCATTTAACAGCTGAGGAAACTGAGGCTCAAGAATGATAGAAATCGCCCAAGACCCCACAAGGGTGGTGGGACTGTAACTCAGGTGCCTGTCTGAAAGTTTGAACCATTTTATTCCACTGTGTGCACAAGATTTGAATTTTACTTTCACCTCCATTTCACGACCAGGGCTTTCCTGCTTTCTTTGCTTTTGAGGACAGGGCTGTCAGGAGGTTGCCAGGGCTTGGGACGACCTGTAGACGAGACAAGCAGTTCGCAGAGAGTGTGGGCTGACTGGCTGGCAAGTGGGACCAGAGCTGGACTCCCAGTCTCTTTATTAGTCCAGGTCTCTGGATGATACATCCAAGTCCAGAGGTACCTGCAGTGGTGGTAGGAGATGGGGAAGGGACAGATATGATAGTTCCCCAAGGAATTCTGAAAACAGGGGAAAGAGCTGCATAGGCAACGTCACGTCATTTGCAAAGGTGCCAGGGAAATGTCAGAACAAAATGTGCTGGCTGAGATCTGGAGATGAGAAATCCATTCCTGGCTTCCCTGAAGCAAATCCCTCCACTTCCCAACATCCATCTCAGGCAGAGGAATTAGTCATTTGGCAGTTCTCTTCAGCACCATGGACAGCACCCCAGATCCGCCTTCACATACCCACCAGGCCTCGGAGTGCCAGGCACGGTGACTGGCACCATGGCCAACGGAAGGGACAGTCTCACTCCTACATCCATGGGAGCCTGCCACCAGGCTCCAGGGAGAAGACTCACAGCAGGGAAACCCATTCACACAGTGCTGGGTGTTCACTCGTGCGGCAAAGGACCCTCCCAGCCAATGTCGCACGTAACTTCCATTCATGCGTTTGTGGTTATTGAACAGCTGCTGTGTGCCTGGTCCGGCACCAGATACCGAGGAGGAAGATTAAAAATGAATAAAGACGGTGCTTGTCCTTGAAAAGCTTGGGGCTAGTGGCGGAGACTAGAAAGCAGTGATTATAAAACAGATAAGCAAAAAGCGTGCAAACAGCTCACGCTGAGTACCTGTGATAAGCTAGGCATGGCACCGGGAGCTTGAGTCATAGTGATGAGCATGAGCCAACTACTGCTCTTAGTCCCATTGTACAAGTGGGGAACCAGGTCAGGGGACTTTCCAAGGTCATAAGGTGATGAAGAGGCAGAGCTGGGATTTGCATCCAGGGGGTCAGGCTCCAGAATCTGTGATTTAAACCACTACCACAGTCTATGAGGTCATGGCAGGCGGGAGCATTTAAGCTCAGGAGGAGGCAGTGAAGAATTTCTGGATGAGATGACCCCTGGGCTGAATTCTCCCAGCTGAGGGCAAGTGAGGAAACAGAAGACGGGATAACACATGTGAAACCTGAGAAACATAGCATCCTTTGCAGGTTTCTTGTGGCTGTAGCAAAATGGGGTGGGGGCAGGAAGGGACTGGAAGGACAGGTTGGACGGGTCCCAAAAGCTGTGACCTTGGGGGGTGTTGTACAGTAAGTTCTCTGCATATGAACCTTCAAGCTGCGAACTTTCAAAGATGTGAACATGTGTTTGCATGCTCGATCACGTAAGTTAGTTCACATGTCTGGTGTACATTGTCACGTGTGTGTGTCTTGTACAATTGATTGTGCTTTTGTGTATTTTGCTGTATAGTATGTACAGGGCACAGCAGTATAGTGTCTTTATTTCAAGCCCAGGATACGCAGAAGCAAGTATAAAAGCAACAACATATAGCCAGTTGTGTTAGTTGTACACCTAGGATAACTTTGTTGGACTTAAATAAATTGAACTTAGGAACGTGCTCTTGTAATGGAACTCATTTGTATATAGCGGACTTACTGTATTAAGTTAGAGTGTTGGGCTTTAATCTAAACTCTGCAGAGACAGCTAAAGGTTTCCAGGAGTGAAGGCAGTTGATCAGATTTGTCCTCTGGAAAATGGCTGGCGGTGTATTGGGGGGATGGACTGGTCAGGGACCATGGGTAGGTGGGAGGTCCAGCCAGGGGGCTGCTGCCGAAGACCAGGTATTCTGCAAGGGGAGGCTGGGGTGGGGGAATGGAGTGGACGGTATGACCACATGAGCCCTCGAGGAGGACGTGGTGAAGATCACAGGCTCTGGCCGCACATCTCTTGGGTCTATAACCAAGGCCAGGAGTGAGGAAGCAGCTGCTGCAGATGGCCTACCTTCAAGTTCATGTGTTTTACTCATAAGTCCTTGCTCGGGGCCTACTTACTCTTAATTCACATACCATTCTGACAGAGTCAAGGGCCTGCTTCCTAAACCTACAGCAAATTAGAAATAGAAAATTTTCCAAGAACAGGTACACTGAGAGCAGTGAAGAATGATAACTGACATGAAGAGGCAAACTTAAAAAAAAAAAAATCACAATAAAGATGCATCATTTGGTAGATTTCAAAAACAACAATACAACTTATATTAAAGGGTACTCTGTTTAATAAAGTAGGGAAATGGATTATGTTTTTTTTTAAATTTTCATTAGGCTAAATTAGGCTAAATTTAAATTTCCAAAGGCTAAAATGAAATTTGAAAGTTTGATTAAAGGAGCAAACCCTTAGCTGTATAGATCGGCCACTTGCTCCCAGGATCCAGGAAACTGAGACCTTTGTGAGCTTTGCATATTCAGAGTGCCTTTCAGAAACCTCTCCTGTCCATCAGCTCACCTGATCCTCACACCCATTCCACGAGAAGATAGGCAGAGAGGCCAGCCCCATGTCACAGATGGAGAAACTCATGCTCCTCTGTCTTTTCACCACCTGTCCAAACAGCGCTTCGTGTTTGGGGGTCACACTTGGAGCCCAGCTATCTGGACTGGTAGCCCCAAACTCTCAGTCAATGAGCCTCATCTGCCTTCCTTTTCCTCCCCCACCTTCCGGGATAGTCCACAACCCCCTGTCCCCCTACTGATACCCCCCCAAATACTCCACGCCTGCTGCCACCGATTAGCTGGTGCGATGCCTGAGAAGCAGCCCTCTCCTCCCATCTCTCTGCGGCAACATCACAGGTTCATTTGCATACCCATCAGCCAATCAGCACTCACTTCTCCAGCAGGCAATCCATCTCTGTCGGGTCCACTCCCTCACCGGGACTGATCTCAGGACAACAAACCTGGCCCTTGAGGTGTGAGGGCTGCGCTGTGAGCTCTGCATATGTTCCCTCACTGAATGTGCACAGCTGGCTGACCTCGAGACTGTTCTTATTCCCATTTCTCAGATTAAGAAACTTTCAAAGCTTGAGAATGTGGCCAAGTTCATGCCGATGATAAGCAGTAGAGAAGGAGTTTGAACCCAAGACTGTCTGACTCTAAATGCTGGGCTCTCCACAGCTCTAGGGTCTCCCACCAGCGGTACAAGTGAGCATTCTCTGGGGCTTGGGTGGGGACCCCCACGACTTCAGTCTGGGAAGGCAGCCTCTCTGACCCCATTCCACAGCGTCCCGCAGATTCTTGCTGGCAGGGAGAAGTCCCTGATGAGTCCGCTCCATCGGAGGAGGACACTGGAAGAGCACTTCCAGCCCAGGGAGAAGGCCAGGTGGTATGACCAGGTCCTTAAACCTGGGAGGATCCTGTACAGGCTCCGGGGAGCCCTGAGCTGGGGGCTCAAGGCAGGGCTGAGCCAAGGTCTTGTAGCCAAGGTGCTGGGTGACCGGGGCCTTTGTGTGATGAGCAGGCTGCTTCTGACCTGCCTTCTGCAAGGTTGACTTTCCAGGGGCAAGAGATGGCCAATGCCAGCTGGACACAGATGACACAAGCTGAGCCTCTCAGCATTTCCCCTCGCCTGGCACAGGGCAAAGCAACCCAGCAGGGGCCAGGCACACCCCTGCCCTCTCCCACCCAGCCACCCTCAGGAGGAGGGATAAAGGGCCAAGAACCTCCGGGGTGAGACCCCCTCTCGCTGAGTCACTGCACAGGGGACAGCTGAGATAACCTATTCAGTGACAATGCAGTCAGGGAAGACTTCCTGGAGGTAGTGGCCATTGGGGTGGGTTTCTTAAGCTGGTTGACTGGGTGGGTGACTGGAGGGGAGACCATGCTGGGTATAGGGAGTAACAAAGAGACAAGAGTTTACCTTGTAGAAGGAAAGACCACCCCTTGAGGTCAAGTAGGCAGATGACTTTAGCATGTTTGACAGGGTAACCCCTTGTAGCTCAGTTGGTAAAGAATCTGTCTGCAATGCAGGAGACCCAGGTTTGATTCCTGAGTCGGGAAGGTCCCCTGCAGAAGGAAATGGCAACCCACTCCAGTTCATGACCACTTCATGGTCAGAGAAGCCTGGCGTGACACAGTCCACGGGGTCGCAAGAGTCGGACACGACTTGGCGACTAAACCACCACTACCAGCACAGCCTAGGTTGCTTTGCTCCAGCCCAGGGCTCTGGGGCTCTAGCTGGCATTTCTACCCTCCTGTTGGTTTTGGTGCCAATGGACTGGGGCTGGGTTGGGGTCACCTCTGCCGTGTCTGCTGGGCAGGGCCCAGCGACTTCTCTGCTCCCAACTCTCCAGGCCCAAGGCCGCCAGCTCCTTAGAGGCCAGCTGATTGTGGTCCTTTGCCTCCATCTGGTGGTAAATCTGTGAAATGACAACAGGTGGCCCTTAAGAGGCTGTTGGGGTGGAGGGGGTAGTCTCCTCTTAAAGGCCACCTGTTGTCAGGCAGAAGAGGAAACATTTGAGGCAGAGGAAGAGGAGGAAAAGGAGAGGAGGGGTGAGAACAGGCAGAAGTAACTGTTTTATAGTCTGTATGGATCACCACGCACTTTGGTGAGAGGCAGACTAATCTTGGTCCCAACCTATAGCAGCTATGCACAGACCCTCCCCAGGCCGCCGTTTACTAATCTGTAAAATGGGTGTAAATAACCCCACCCTTATAGTGTCACCTTTGGTGATGCTTTGACTGAGGAGCTTCCATGGGCCAGGGGGCCGGAAATGATCTCTATAATGGTGGTTGTTATGCAGTTTTGAAAAGTCATTTGTTGTTGTTCAGTTGCTCAGTGGTATCCAACTCTTTGCAACCCCATGGACTGCAGCACGCCAGGCTTCCCTATCTTTCACCACCTCCCAGAGCTTGCTCAAACTTGTGTCCTTTGAGTCGGCAATGCCATCCAACCATCTCGTCCTCTGTCATCCCCTTCTCTTTCTCATAGAGCTGTACATTTAAGGCAGGTTCACTTTAGATAAGTTGTATTTCAATAAAGATACAATATAAACAACAACAACATCAATCTTACAGGATTTTGGTGAGGACTAAGTGAGATCACGTAGGAAAGGGACTAAGCCTGGAATCTGGCACACAGTAGGGAGGCAATGAAGGTTAGCGCTATTGTCACCAAAGACTTTCAAGCATAGCTATGTTCCAGTTTTATCGCAGTCCTATAACTTGACTTATATGTTATAGCTGGGGGATTGAGGCTTGGTGGAAAAGTGCTCCAGATTGTCTAATTCCATTTCCTACATTTTTTTCTCCTGGGCCTTGCTCTCAAGCCAGCTTGGGCTGCACAAGGCCCAGGTCATCATAGTTATCTGGACAGATCCAAGGGCCATTATGCCCAACAATGCATCAGGTTAAGGTACTGACTGCAGGTACTGACTTCCCAGAAGACCTGGATCTTCTGGGTCTCAAGGCACCAGAGGGGCCCCTTTCAACAGAGTGAATGAGAAAGGGTCAAGCAGTCCCATGAAGGAACGAGGGAGAAGGGAAGGAACGGGGGGGCCGGGAGGGCGGCGGGTGAGGAGTGGGAGTGGGAGTGTGGCAGAGGGGAGAGAACCAGGGCAGATCTGGGTCTAAATCCAGGCTCTGAGTCGCTTCTCATCCATGGGGATCAGTTTCCGCCTCTGTAAAAAGGGCATAAGAATATAGGCCCTTCCTGGTGCTTGGGATTATTGTGAAAGCAAAGTGACACTGTGGGGCAGACACTTCGGTCCTCCCACTGATCTTGCCGGCGGGGCAAGAATCTTCCCATTTTACAGACGAAGAAACTGAGGCTTAGATGCTACAGACCCTACCAAGCTCCCAGCTTAGACCTCAGCCCCAAGGTGAGCCATGGCGTAAACACAGCCCAGAAAAGTGGAGCGAAGTCCTGGGACTGTGGGGTCCTGCGGCCAGTCCCGAAACCTCAGTGCTGCCGATTAAATGGGACGTTGTACGGCCGAAAGGATGGGTGGGCGGGGCGCCCAGGAACACGTGATGGCCCTTTGATTAATTCAGATCAGGGCAACAGCCTTGGCCTCCGCAGCTGCAGTTGACCCTCCTGCCCCTTCTCCTAGCGGTGGTGACACCAGAGCCCTTGGAGGAAACTGGGCCTCCCGGTCCCAGAACGGCCTGTCCCCGCAGCCCTGGGTGTCCCTGGCCTGCCATCTGGTGGCCATAGGAAGAATTGCCGGGACGAGGCTTCAGTCTGGTCTTGCCTCCCTCTCCCTCAGGGCTGTGCCAGCCTCTGCTTGCAGGGAGGACGGAGCTCTGAGTCTCCCCAGAAGCCCTCCGCTCTGGTGGGCAGCACCTCTGAGTGCCTGTCGCTGCGCCCCCTTGTTGCAGAGTAAACAGGACAGAGGTCTCTTCTGGGGTCAGAGTCAGGCATCTCAGACCACCAGGTCAGGTTGGCTCTGGCTAGAACATTCTATCGCGACTTCCTTTGGCCAACACAGAGCCCACGGCACTCACAGGCTCCTGGCCCACTAACTCGGGTGTCAGGAAACCGCCCGTTTCACGTTTTATTCCAAAGTTCCACGTGAGTTCCTCCTCCTCCTGTGCTTGGTGGTGGTTTAGCCTCTCAGCCGTGTCTGACTCTGCGACCTTATGGACTGTGGCCTCCCAGCCTCCTCTGTCCATGGGGCTTCCCGGGCAAGAATGCTGGAGTGGTTTGCCATTCCTTTCTCCAGGGGATCTTCCCAACTCAGGGACTGAACCCAGGTCTCCTGCATGCATTGCAGGCAGATTCTTTACCAACCAAGCCACCAGGGAAGTCTTACCCGTGGTTGAATGATTCCCACCCAGGAGCACACAGAACAGAGGTTTCTGTAGCCCCAAAGGCGGGAACAGGGTCTCTGGGGGTTATCACAGGTCCCAGTGCGACTGGTCCATGAAGGCAGGAGGCCCTGCGCTCCTGTGACTACCTGGGTTCAGGAGTGTCTGCCCAGATTGGCAGCCCCAGCTTGGGGTCCACCTCCTCTGGGTGAAGTCATTCCCCTGGAAGACCCTGGCATCTCTTGGGGGTACTTCGGGGTACAGGGCACCCTTCCAGCTCCTCTCTTGTCCTGCCTCCTCTGCCCCTTAGCAGGCCAGGGACAAATTAACTCTTTGCTTTTAGCTCCTGTCACTATACACCTGACTCAGTTAGTATTGCTGCATTACAAACCAGCCCCAAACTGAGTCATCAGACAGCCATCTAATTATGACCAAGGATTTGGACAGGGCATGGTGGAGGCAGTTGCATCTGCATCACGACACCTGGGGCTTCCGCTGGAAGACAGCAGGCTGGGAGTGACTTGATGGCAGACACGAGAATTAGCAGAGATGTCTTCACCCACCAATCTAGTGCCCAGTACTGGCTGTCAGCTGGAACTCTAGGGTGTCCTCTCTATGAGGCCTCTCTGCATGTGTTAGTTTGGGCTTTCCCATCATGTGGCGGCTGGATTCCAAGAGTGAGCATAACAAGGTACCAAGGCAGACATACACGGCATTATTCAGATATAACCTTGGAAGCTAATGGCCATCCTTTTTCATACTCTACTGGTGGAGGCAGTTGCAAAGTCTGCCCAGGTCACGGGCCCCACCCCTCGAACGCAGTGGTGTTGGGGTTACCTGGTAAGAAGATCGTGTGGATGGGAGATTCTGTCGTGACTGTCTTTAGAAAGTCCATCTGCCACGTCACCTCACCCAGAGCTGAAACTTGTAGAGAAAAACCACTGGTCTGTGTTTTCCACTGCTGTTCAGTCGCTAGGTCGTGTTCAACTCTTTGCAACTGCATGGCCTGCAGCATGCCAGGCCTCCCTGTCCTTTACTGTCTCCCAGAGTTTGCTCAAACTCATGTCTATTGAGTCAGCGATGCCATCCAACCATCTCATCCTCTGTCACTCCGTTCTCCTCCTGCCTTCAATCTTTCCTATCATCAAGGTCTTTTCCAATGAATCAGCTCTCTGCATCAGGTGGCCAAAGTATTGGAGTTTCAGCTTCAGCATCAGTCCTTCCAATGAATATTCAGGGTTGATTTCCTTTAGGATGGACTGGTTTGATCTCCTTCCTGTCCAAGGGACTCTCAAGAATCTTCTCCAGCACCACAGTTCAAAAGCATCGATTCTTTGGCACTCAGCCATCTCTATGGTCCAACTCTCATATCCAGACATGACTACTGGAAAAACCATAGCTTTGATTATACGCAACACTAAACTGCCAGAAGCAAGGCAGCTCAGCACTGGGCTACCTGCTACTCCTGTGGAGGAGAACGTGAGATAGAGTTCCGAGTGGATGACTGCAAGCAGCGGAGCCTGTCCGGGGCAGACTGCAGGCTCCAGGAATGAGGTCCTAGAGAGGAAAAACGGAGACAGTCAGTAAAAGTCAGAAGCCAGAACTCTTTCTGTCTCAGGGAGGAAATCAGAGTTGCCGAGTGTGACTGGTTGGTGGGTGGGCCACACCTGGGCTTGTTGTTTAGGTGGGCACAGCTGGCAGAAGGTAGTCAGCCATGGGCATCCACCTGGGAAAGGCCTGGGAACCTCAGCTAAGCAGTAACACATACACATATGCTCCAGATTAGAAGTGCGGTGCTCCATCAGGCCTGCACTGGGGCCACCACGTTTATCTGGACGTCTCAGCAAATGATGGAACTCAGAGGCCTGCACTGCTGAGATGGCTAGGCACAAGGTCATGGGTTGACGCTGGTCTCCACCATCTGTGTGACCTTGGATGGATGACATCTCCAAACCCCACTTTCTCATCTGCTACATGGGGACAATTCTAAGTCTCAGAGCCATGGGCTATTTTAGGGCAAGTTCTAAATCAGTAAGGCAAAAAAAGCAAGTACAGGCAAAACCATCCTTGAAAAACCTCTTAGTTTCCTCCCCACCCCACCCCACCAACATGTATCCAGGGCTTCCCCGGTAGCTCAGCTGGTAAAGAATTTGCATGGCTTCGCATCTACAACCGTGTGGAGGGACTCTAAAGAAAACTAAATTTGAAGCACTGATGAGCTGGAACAGGGAGGGCAAAGGGGAAGCTGGGAACAGATGGCCCAGCTGTCACACCATCTGCCTTTAAGAAAATGTCGAGCCCCTAACTGGGAGCTGAGCGGCGGACCTGGCTGGGCGGGGACACAATGGTACCTGTCAGGCTCGCTGACACACTCCTCTTCTGTTTTCATATTAATCCTCAGTAACCTGAATATGCGTCAGTGGACCTGGGTGCTCTTGTTGACACAAAGCCAGGGAGTACGCACGAACACTCGCAGCACTGTTCTTGGTACATAGTAAGTGCTCAATAAACATGGGCTGGATTTGAGTCTTGATCTTGCTGCATCAGATCCATATACAAGGCTTGTTTGCAGCCAGGACAGCTGTCCAGGTTGTTAGAACATTAAAACACGTCCGTACCAGTTGGTGAGCAGCTGCTGTCCCAGCCCCCCCCCACAACCCCCGCTGAGTGCTCCCCACTGCCCCAGTTGACCTGGTCTCTCTAACCTGGGGTTCCCAAATCCCCACCCGATCCAGCACCTTGAGAAGTGACCCTGGTCCAGGACCCTGCTCAGGTATGAGGCTGGAGTCTGTTCTGTAGGTTGGCCCCATGAGCTTCTAGGGTTAAATGTTCCAGGGGTCACCCTGCCCACGTTCCCACAGCCCCGTGAAAAGCTCTCAGGAGGAGTCAGTAGTGTTTGCTGCACCTCACAGCTGGCCTGTCCTATAGAGGCCCTGAGGATCCCTCACCCCGCCTGGGCTCTGGCTCCTGCCCTCGGGTAGGGTTCACATCCAGGGAACCGAGCAGGAGCTAAGCTGGAGCTGAGCCAGGGCCCACCAGCTCAGCTGTCTTTGAAGCCCTAGAGCCCAGATCCTCTCGGGCCCGCCCTGCAGCTGTGTGGAGACCCAGGCCCAGCGCCCCTCAGACTGTGGGTCCCCGTGCCTTGTCTCCCAGGATGTCTGCTCATGCAAGAATGAACAAGTTTGCCGAGCAGCCCAGGCAGCCAGCCCAAAGCAGCTGACACAAGTGCGAAATTTCTTCGAAGTCTCGGGTCTTCTTTCAAAATTACGGATTCTGCATTCTGCTCCATGATGCTTCCATTTTTGTGTAAATCTAAAAATAGAGCTTCCACCGAACAAAACTGACTCTCCAGGAAGATGACAGGCTCATCCTGTGACTCTGTGGACACCCAGCTCACTGCACTGGGCCTCTGGGTGCTCAAGGCTGGAAATTTGAAAATGTCGCACCCTCCCCCTCCAGCCCCGCATGCCTCAGGTAGACTAAATCTCTGACTTTTCACCTCTGTAAAGAGGAGTACACAGACACCCTTTCTGAGCCACTTCCCATTTCGGCCTTTCTGAAACTGTGGTTAACCCTGACCAGTACCCTATGGCCATCAGGAGAGACTGTCCTTTTCTGCTTTGGATGGACAGAGGCTGGGCAGTGCCAGGGCCCTGGTGCCCACCCTGCTTGGGGGTGAGAGCAGTACAGCCAGGGAAGGGGAAGCCCAGAGACCAGGCATTTACCCTCCTGGATCCAACAGCTCCTTGGCCACCCCAGGGTGCTCTGCTTAGTCACTTTAGTCGTGTCTGACTCTTTGTGACCCCATGGACTGTAGCCTGCCCAGCTCCTCTGTCCATGGGGATTCCCCAGGCAAGAATACTGGAGTGGGTTGCCATGCCCTCCTCCAGGGGACCTTCCCAACTCAAGGATCGAACCCAGGGATGGAACCCAGGCATCCCACATTGCCCTGGCCATCCCAGGGTGGCGCCCATAAGTTCCTCTGGCTTTACCTAAGCTAGTATGAGCTAAGCTTAATCACTTGCAGAGTCCTGTCAGTCAACCTTCCCTAGAGAGGAGACCACTCAGGGCGGCCTTTTTCCCTTTCCTCAAACACTTGGAGGCCTTCATGGGGAGGAGGGAACGTGGGCCAGAACCGGGATTGAGACATGGGAGATGGAATGAGGCAGATGAAGGATGGAAGAAGGAAGTGCTTTCTGAGTCAGATCCTTCCAGAGACAGCAGGACCTGCTTCAACAGAGAGTGAGCTGAAGACCCCCTGGTAGGGAAGGGTGGAGCAATCCAGGCCTGAGATGGGGACGGTTGGACTACTAGCCTATAAAGTTGCTTCCTTTTCTGAGTCTCTGATTGTATGCTACTCTCTAAGCCCTGTCCAAGGATGTCACCTCCTTGCTGCAGCGACCAGGCATGCTCAGTCACCTCTCAGCTGGAAGCATGGGGCAGGGGATAGACAGGTGGGTGCTCGGGGCCTGTGAGCCTGTTCTCAGCCCAGGTGTGGTAACTGGCTGTCCACAGGTTAGGCTTCTAGAACAGGAAAACTTAATAACCCAAAGTGGCTCCTGTCTGAATCTCTCCATTACCACGGTGGTTTATGCCCTCTGCCTGCAAACATCCCTGAGGGGCAGGGCAGACAATCTTGGCGAGGCTGAGGTTAGCCTGAAGAATTTCCTGGCCCTTATTCTAGGGGCAGCTTCTTCCCCAGGAAAGATGAGCACTTCGGAGAGGAGACCAGAGCCATGAAGTGGAGCCGGGTGTTGGACCTAGAAAAGTACAGGCCTGAGTGAGACGGAGGTACTGACATCCCCTCCTCTCCTGCCAACTCTGATTGGAATCACCAAAAAAGGTACATTGTGCGGGGCAGGGGTGGGGGGGATGGGAGGGGGAGGGGGGAGGCGTGGGGCAGGAGAAGGGGGGTAAGGACAGCAGGAGGATTAGGAAGGAAAAGAGGTTCACACTCTGCATTTTGAGGAGTTTCTACACGCCATGCCGTGCTTAGCTGCTCAGTCGTGTCCGATTCTTTGCGATGCCATGGACTGTGGCCCGCCAGGCTCCTCTGTCCATAGGATTCTCCAGGCAAGAAAACTGGAGTGGGTTGCCATTCCCTTCTCCACTACACACTGCAGACAAGGGCAATTTGGGAAAAGTCGCTGAACGCTAGGCGCCGCCTGACCCCAAGCATCTGGTGGGCTGGTGCTGCCAAGGGTCTCTTCCCTGAACTGTGGGTGGACGCAGCCAGGCATAGCACAGGCCACGCTGCTCTGGCCGCCCGGACACAACGACCTCACCGGCTGGTAGACAGAGGCCCGGTCAAGTGTCCCAGATCCGCAATGCACCGGCCGCAGCATCCTAGCCCAGCGCACCGCATGAACCCGCGGGCGCCTTCAGGCCGAGTCGCCGGCCCGTTTGCAGAGGTATTACTTCGGTTCTCCAGCAGAGGGCAGTACTGTGCTCCAAGGAAGAGGCGCCCTTTTCCGAAGAGCGCGGAAACCATTATGTTCTTTAGGCAGCAGGAATCTTGAAATGACAACCCTCCAGACCCAAACCTGAGAGTCAGATTCCTTTTTCTGTTTACAGAACTCTAACTTTAATCAAAGCAATACTTAACTTTTTAAAAATGTGAAATTGGTCTCTAAGACTCAACAAAAGCCAGCAGCCTCCTGTTCTCATCCACACCCCACCTTCAACCACTTCAAATGCTTTCAGCGTTTCTTCTGTTAGTCTCCAGATTTCTAAAGAACCGGTTCTTGATTTCCTAGTTTTACACGTCATCTTCGACTACTATGATGGAAGATGAGACTTATCTTTCTTAATCTACCCCCAAGTTCTCCCCTTTCTCAAACATACACACACACACACATTCTCCCTCTCCCAGCATGTTTGTCTCTCTGTTGTTATTTAGTCAGTAGGTCGTGTCCAACTCTTTGCCACACCATGGACTGCAGCACGCCAGACCTCCCTGTCCTCCACTGTCTCCCGGAGTTTGCTTAAGCTAATGTCCATTCAGTTGGTGATGCCACCCAGCCATCTCATCCTCTGTCGTCCCCTTCTCCTCCTGCCCTCAATCTTTCCCAGCATCAGGATCTTTTCCAGTGAGCTGGCTCTTCGCATCAGGTGTCCAAAGTATTGGAGTCTCAGCTTCAGCATCAGTCCTTCCATTGAATATTCAAGGTTAATTTCCTTTAGGATTGATGGGTTTGATCTCCTTACTGTCCACGGGACTGTCAAGAGTCTTTTCCAGCACCGCAGTGTGAAAGCATCAGTTCTTTGGCCCTTGGCCTTCTTTATGGTCCAACTCTCACATCCATACATGATTATAGAAAAAACATAGCTTTGACTATACTGACCTTTGTCAGTAAAGTAATGTCTCTGCTTTTTAATGCACTATCTAGGTTTGTCATAGCTTTCCTTCTAAGGAGCAAGCGTCTTAATTTCATGGATGCACTCACCATCCACAGTGATTTTGGAGCCCTAGAAAATAAAATCTGCTACTGTTTCCACTTTTTCCTCATCTATTTGCCATGAAGTGATGGGACTGGATGCCATGATCTTAGTTTTTTGAATGGTGAGTTTTAAGCCAACTTTTCATTTTCTTCTTTCACCCTCAAGAGGCTCTTTAGTTCCTCTTCACTTTCTGCCATAAGGGTGGTGTCATCTGCATATCTGAGATTATTAATATTTCTCCCTGCAATCTTGATTCAGGCTTGTGCTTCATCCAGCCCAGCATTTCTCATGATGTACTCTGCATATCAGTTAAATAAGCAGGGTGACAATATACAGTCTCGTCTACTCCTTTCCCAATTTTGAACCAGTCCATTGTTTCATGTCTGATTCTATCTGTTGTTTCCTGACCTGCATACAGGTTTCTCAGGAGGCAGGTAAAGTGGTCTGGTATTTTCATCTCTTTAAGAATTTTCCACAGTTTGTCGTGATCCACACAGTCCAAGACTTTAGCGTAGTCAATGAAGCAGATGTTTTTCTGGAATCCTTTTTCTTTTTCCTATGATCCAATGGATGATTTGTCTCTCCATATTTTGTTAAATCAATATTCTGGATATTCACATGCCTTCTTTGCCTATAATATTTCTGCCATCTCTGCACAGATGGAATGCCTTATTTACCATCATGATTTTCCACCCTATGTTTCTTCTGACCAAGATACTCATTTCATAGCAAAAGAGTGACAGTGGGCTTGGGCCCCTCACCAGGTACTCCATCATCCAGAAACTGGGAGCCTAACTGGTAAGTGGAAGGACCTTCAGAAGACTCGGGTAATGCTACTTGAGAGAGAACGTCCTGAAAGGTTGAGGTTCTGCCTTAACAGGAGGCAGAATGTGCTTTCACTCAGCAATCAATATAAGGTGTTTCCCCACCCCTGTCCACAGTAAGTGGGCCAGGAAACACTGAGGGGATGTGGCTTTTCCCACCATTGTACCTAATAACCGCTGGCAGAATTTCTGCTTCTTGTCCCCATGACTTTGAACTCTGATGATTTGGAAATCTTTGTTCCTAAGGGAGAAACTAAGGAGGAAGAAGCCCACTTCCTTAGGGGTCAGAGACCCAGCCATGTGAGATGCCATCAGCAGCCAGGCAGCACCCTCGGCCCAGAAGTCTCAGGGACAGCCATGCAGAGTCCTCCCCTTGAGCTCCGGAGATGCCAGCCCTGGCCGTACAGCAACCCTCCAAAGAGATCTGAGTCCCAGCCCTGGGCTCACCTCCGCCAAGAAGATCCCTTCCCCTCCTCCTCTACCCCAGGCGGGTAGCTGTATCCCCAAGGTACCATCTCTGTGTTTCCTCAGAGTTTCTGCTCCGACCTCCAGGACCTGTTTAACCAATTCTCTCTGTATTCCTCGTTCTGTCATAAACGAGTGTGGTTTCTGTTTTCATGGCTGGATCCCAACTGATACAGCCATGAGTAAGTCAATATGGTAAATCCAACTTTTAATGCTTGGGGGTTAAAAAGGAGACAAGTTATGCTCCAATTCTCATAAAAAATGTTTCTTTTCTTTGCCAAATACTTAAATACTTTGCCATGAACTTTACAAAATGTGAGTAGAATCTAGATGAAGAAAGTTACAAAGTGTAGTTTTGTAGTGAGCAACAGAAAATATAACCTGAACCAATGAAAAAACTATATTATAGGAAGAAAGTATCAATATTATTGAAATATCAATAATAACCCATAGTAAGTGTTAGTCGCTCAGTCGTGTCTGATTTTTGTGACCCCATGGGCTGCAGCCCACCAGGCTCCTCTGTCCATGGGATTTTCCAGGTGAGGATACTGGAGTGGGTGGCCATTGCCTTTTCCAGGGGACCTTCCCGACCCAGAGATCAAACCTCGGTCTCCTGCACTGCAGGCAGATTCTTTATCAACTGAGCTAGGAGGGAAGCCCCATATAAATCTACAAATGTAATGAAATTCCAGTCAATATCCTATTGGGCCTTTTTTTTTTTTTTAAGCACAACAAAGTAAGTCTAAAGTTTACCTGGAAGAATAAATCATCAGTGCTCAATAAAATATTCTGAAAAGGGGAAGCCTGCCTGCCAGTTATTAAAATGTTTTACAAAAACTCAGCCAATAAAATAGTGTGGTTTGATTCTATATCCAGTAATGGTGAAATGGCTTTCATTGAATTAAACATTCCTTCAGGTAATAATTAAATACTCTGAACAAGTATTTTAAAAATTATTTCATTAAAGAGTGAAAAATAACAAATCCAGAATTGTATATCCAGGAAAAAGTATATCCTTTAAGCAAGAGAAATAGATAGTTCAAATAAATAAAAACTGGGAGAACTCGTTGCCAGCATACCTGCTTGCTCTACTAGAAATACCAAAAGAAGCTCTTCAGGCTAAAGGGAAATTATACTTAAAGGAAATATGTTTACAGGAAGGAATGGACTCCCAAAATGGTAAACATGTGTTTATTGAAGAAAAAACATATTTTATTCTCTTAATTTATTTAAAAGGCATAAAACCACCAATAACAAGTGGATTTTAAAAATCAAATACTTTAAAAATAAGAATGATGAAAAATTGCAAGATATATACACTGAAAACTGTAAATCATTGTTGAGAGAAATTAAATAAGACACAAAAATGGATAGACACTCCACATTTATTGATTGGAAGACTCAATACCATTTCTTTCTTAATACCAGTCTCTCTCCTAACTGACAGATTCAGGGCCATTTCAATCAAAATCCTAGAAGGACGTTGAAAATCTGATTCTAAAATACACAGAGGAATGCAGAGAAACCAGAATAGCCAACATGGTCTTGAAGAAGAACAAAACTGGGGGATTCATACAACTAGGTATTACAACCTAAATACAAAGCTACAGTGATTAAGAAGCCTGTATGACTTGGCACAAGGATAAACAAATAGAAGAATGAAGTAGGATAGAGTCAGCAACAGACCCACATTTATATGGTCAATTGATTTTTGACAATGGGCCACTGCATTTCAGGGGATAAAGGCTGCCTTTAGAATAAATGTTCTAATGTTCCTAAATCATTTGGCTATCCATATGGGTAAAAGTGAGCCTTGATACTTACCTCATATTGCACAAAATTAATTTGAAATGGATCATGGATCTAAGTGCGAAAGACAAAACAACAAGGCTTTTAGATGAAAACATGAAAGAATATCTTTATGACCTTGGGATGGGCAAATTCTTAATGAGAATGTTAACACGTGAACCATAAAATAGACTTCATTGAAATTGAGAATTCTGTTCATTAAAAGACACAGGAGAGTGAAAAAGCAAGTCGCCACATATTGAAAGAAGTTATTCACAACAGAAATTTATCTGAAAAGTAAATAAAACAAAACCCCCCAAAACCAGTTAAACACTGGGCACAAAACTCAAGCACTTTACAAGACAGGCTCTCCAAATGGCCAGTAAACACATGAGAAGGTGCTCAACCTCATTATTCATCAGGAAAAAAACAATATAAAGCCACAAGGAGACATGACTACATATCTAAAATGAGTAAAAATAAAGCTTGATAATACTAAATGTTGCCAGTTATGTGGAACATTTGGGACTCTCTCATATATTGGTTTGGGGAAAGTAAATTGATATGATTAATTTAGAGAACTCTGAAAATTTTGCATAAAGTTAAACATATACTTACCCTATCATCAAGCAATCTGAATCCTAGGTAACTATCCAAGAGATATTAGTTCGCGTCCATCAAAAAAGGCACAAAAACGTTTATAGCAGCTTTGTTCAAAATAGCCAAGAATTGGACAAAAGTTAAATGTCCATCAACAGTGAAATGGATCACTGGTATATTCATACATGTGAACATTGCACACCAATGCAAGGGGCAAACTTATGTGCTTTCAACAACATGAGTGACTCTCCGATGTAATGATAATCCCAAGGAGTAGACATCAGAATCCATATACTATAAAGTTCTATTTGCGTGCAGTTCAAACTGGCAAAACTTACTTGTGATAGAAGCTGAGCAATGGTTGTCTCTGGGG